GGGCCGGGGCGGAACGGACCGAGTGGCTGGTGTTCCCCGCGTGCAGGTTTGCCCAACGGACCTTCCGCGAGGGCGGACGCCGCTTCCTGTTGCACGGAGGGACCGCATAACGTGTTGCCTTCCGGTTGTCCCTCATGCTCCCCCGCCCCCGTTTATGTTAGTGTGAGAGGTTGTTTTTTATATAATTTTTACATGTATGAGATTTTGTTATGTTTTATGTAATTTTAATATATTTCTATTTTAATTGTTGCTCTTGGGAGGGGGAGGGGTCTTAACCCCGTGCGTGCGAGGGGCAGTGTCACCAGGTACAGGTGTACGAGCATTACCACGTTTACACGATCATTTCAACCCTTGTAGGATGTACAATCAATACAAAATGTACCATCATTTTGGAGGTGTCTCATTGATGCAGCCAAGTCGCTCTGGGAAAGCCTTCACTGACTTTCGGGCTTGCTGTGAGCACTTCCTTCTGACTGCTCACCACCTTGACCTAAAGAAATGCTGCACCTTGGATGACCCAATGCTCGCTCGCTCGCTGGCAACTTACGGGGAGCAATAGAAAGTAAAGAAGATGACGTATTTGCATGCGATCATTTTGAGCTTCCAATACAGTCATTTCATATTTAAGACCTGGCAGCGCTGGGGAGGACAACGCCAGCTCCGATGCCAGTTCCCTCCACTGTGCCCGTCTGCCAGGCCTTGGCCCCGCGGGTTGCTGAGGGGTGCCGGGCCCTGCTGTGCTGAGCCCCGTGTGCAGCAGGAAGCTTTGCAGTGTCATGGCGAGAAATAGGACTCTGTCCATCCCCCCAGAGGGTCCTGCGGAGGCATTCATGGCTCCAGTTCGGCAGAGGGAGCCAGCATGCACCCACAGCCCTGGCCGCCTCAGGGGGGCAGAGCCCTCATGTACCCCCAGCCCCAGGGCCGCCTCAGTCAGGTCACAGTGGATAAAGCCAGTGCGTACCCACAGACACGGCCTCAGTCAAGCAAAAAAAAGCCAGCGTGCACCCACAGCTGCAACCAGCCTCAGGCAGACAGAGCCGGTGTGTACCCACAACCAGGACCTGTTCACTCAGGCCGACAGAGCCAGCGTGCACTCATACCACGACCTCCTCGCCAGGTGGACAAAGCCAGCATGTACCCACAGCCGTGACCACCCGCTTTGCAGCCACTTCCCCTTTTCTTTTATTGCCCTGCCCAAATAGACAGGCAGGAATCCAGAAATCACTTCTGTGTGAAAGAGGCCTGGCCACATGTCACAGCGTAGAATGAAAACACCTCTTAGGGCATTGGTTGTCTTTGTAAGGAGGCCTGTAAGCCATGCGAAGCCTTAGTCTATAACAAAGACATTTGTGAGTGACGTGATCCAGGATCTGTGTTTGTCATCAGGTGATTCCAGGATGTATATGCATGTTTTTTTGTTCTGAATAGGCGTGACTGGGAGATGAGATAACACCTGGAAAAAAAGTGTGCCACTCACGGACAAGAGCCCAGGAAGGGGCCTTGAAAACAGGTAAGGAAACAAAAACAGTCCTGGGAAGCGACAAAGCTGAGTTGCAAGAAAAGCTGAGGAGGATGATAAACAGGAGTTGGTGAGTTAATGAACATTGTGGTAGGGCACACTGTGGCCCATGATCTGAGGTTGAAGCCTGGAATAGACAAGACTTACTCCAAAGTAATGAGAAAATTCCCTCAGAATTTTTTGAGGCTCAGAAAGAGTAGTTTGTGGACAAATGCTGTTTTGATGGGAGACCACAAAAATTCCTAAACAAACAAGATTTGAGACCAGAGAATAGCATCTTCTTTCAGGCTTGGTTATTATTTTTTCTAGATAAGGATATATGCGAGTCATAGGCAATATATAAACTGATTTACTTCCAGCTAATAAGGCTTTTAGTTTCTTACCAGTGGAGGAATGAAATAATAATCTTGATATACATTATACACATGCCAGGTCCATGTTGGCTCTTTCCTCATCTCTTAGCAACAGAGCACTGTCATTTGATGGCAATGACTTGTCCTTAACATGCTATTTTGCAGATTTCCAATAAACATACAATGGACAGAGTTTTATATAAAGTCTCCAGAACTACAGTTCTGTCTTATGTTGTTGTCTGTGAGCTTTGCTGTCTGATTCCTGTTACTAGGTATCCAGTAGGAATAGACATGTCTTTGCTGTTTATTTGACAATGAACTTGTCACCATATGTAATGTTTGCATTGGATTAGCAAAGATATTTTTTATCAATTTTGAGAAGAACCCTTGAATGAGTGGATATGAATTTAAGTCCTTTAGGAGTTATTTTTTATGACTGTATCTGCAATGGATGTTGAAAAAAGCTATGGTGGGAAAATATGAATGTCTAATTATTGTATAGTCAATTTTCATGACATCTCATTTGCTTAGCTATTATTGTAAGAATGAAGAATAGATGCTTCACTACAGAGAGCTCAAATTAAGAACGGGAGTGAGTCACTAATGTAGCATTCCAGTTCCAATATTTGCTTATGTTTGCTTCTTGGCTTCAAGCCTTCCTCTCGGCGACAGTTAATTGCTTGAGTAAAGCTCCCAAACTATTTGTGACTTCATGTATATGGCCCTGAGAATCTCAGTCACTTGCTCAGAGACTAATAGGGCATATCCAGACAAGCACGCACGTGCAGTTTACAGCTTCTCAAAGCTGTTTGAGGCACCGCAAACCATATGAAGCATATGTGCAACTGTTTGCTGCGCTGCAAATTTGACACTGGGATCTCCCAGTGTAAAAAAAACCCACATAAAATAAGTGATGTGGTGCACACAGCACAGAAACAGAACCTGGCCATCCAGAGCCACCATGTGGCTGCCAGCCAGGCTCCATACAGCCAGATCGGTGCTGCTGCTACCTTGGGAGGCCTAGCAGAGGTGCTGCCCTAGCCTCCCAAACTGGAACAATTTGGTGTGTGCCAGAGAGTGTGTGCAGGGGCATGCCCTGGGGCACAAAGCAGTGACACAAATATGTGCTGCTGCTATTTGTGCCACAGCAAATGCACACCCCTTATGTACGTGTTCATCTGGACATGCCCATAAAGATTGTCACAAATAAGTGATGTGCAGTAGCTTCAATTGGAAGAGCATTTTTCATATTGAAAAATGTGTAGTGCTAATTCTATATATATATATAAAAGGCTTAGTCTGTCTGTCTGTGTGTCTGCCTGTAATGCTTTTGGAGCACTCTGGTTGTCTCGGCAATCAATCACAATGCTTACTGAAACAACCAATTAGAGTGCTCCGCACAGATAGACACACAAACTGACAGACAGATGCAGGGTGGAGAGTGGTGTGGGGCCAGACGCAGAGCAGGTAGGGGGGGAAATGACAGCGGGTACAGAGCACTACCACAATAGAGGGGATGGAGCCAGGCCTCGCCACCCCACCCTGTCTCTGGCCCTTGGAGGCGGCAGCGGTATGGGGTGGAGGGGGATGGAGGGGACAGAGCTGGGGGGTTAGGCCAATGCCACTGGCTTCGCCCCCCACCTCGGCCCTGCTCCTTGGGGACAGCGACAGTGTGGGGTGGTGGTGGCGAGGTGCTGGCCTTCGTAGAGTCTAAAGTCAGAAGGGACCCAATGGATCATTGTGTCTGACCCTCTGCCCCTGGCAGGAAAGAGGACCAAGGTCAGATGACCCCAGCCAGGTGATAGTCAAGCCTCCTCTTGAAGACCTCCAAGTTAGGTGATAGCACCACCTGTCTTGGAAGCCCATTCCAGACTCTGGCCACCCTTATTGTAAAAAATTTCTTCCAAATGTCTAATTTAAATCTACTCTCCACTAGTTTGAACTCATTATTCCTAGTTACTCCCTGGGGCACTTTGGTAAACAGCGCATCCCCAATTCCCTGCTGTCCTCCCCTGATAAATTTATAGGCGGCTACAAGGTCACCCCTCAGCCGCCTTGGCCCCCCACCCCACCATCCCTGCCATCATTCTTGACCGGCAATTTACTAGTAATATAGATGGTACCAATATGCTCTGCCAACCTAGCTGTTTAGATAGCTAAGAACCAGTCCAGGACAATCACAGATCAAGAATCCCAAGTGCATAAAAATCAGAAGTGAAAAAGATATGTTGAATTTCATAGGCTGTTGCTCTGTCTCCATAGCCCAGGAAGGACTAATACCACACCCAAACATCTGTTCAGGAACTTCCTTCAGAACACTGCTATTCTTAGATATAAACATTAAAAAGTAACAAAATTATTCCCCCTACTAAAGCAAGCTATGTGAGTCTTTGCCCATGCTCCAGAGCCAGCCACAAGTTTCTTGCTTTCTAAAGATCTCCTTAACTATTCTCTCTTAGCCCTTTGTAAGAGACTCGTACACTTTCCTAGCAGAGTCAAAAAAGCTGGCTGGCATCTGGCGCTAAAGTGTGTGGGGAGGATGCAGTTACCTTTTTTACCATTTTGCTATTGTAACATATTTCTCATATTTATAAGGCCAAGTTCAAAGGTTGAGGTCCCAGTGCTGAAAGTACCATACTATCTATAGCTGCCATATTCAGTTTCTGAACTGAGAAGCTTTTCAGATGATCCCTAAGGTCAAAGTTTAATGTGCTATTGACAGATTCCTTTCTGGATTGCATTCAGCTCTCCTCAGGTAGAGAAAGTGAGAATGCAAAATCTGTAAGGGAAATTTTGCTCCCCTCCCAGAGAGCACCAACTGAATACAATAGTTCACTTTTGTAATGTTAAGATGACAGGTGATGCTGTAATACAAGACAATTCTATTTGGCAACTTTAAACATCTTTGGCTACTTTAAACTGCTAATAAACTGGAGGATCACCTGGCCTCTCATTAGAATAGCAGTGTTACACCGGTACATCTCCCTCTGATACTTTCAAGAGCCCAGTCACGTTGTGATATAATATTTAACAGGCATACAGCACTTAATTACAGAAGAATGAACCTGAACAGCACACTCACCAGGGAGCTAATGATCCCCCTTGCTCATTTGCTCTGGTCAAAATAATCAACATATTGTTCAACTTGAGAAGTGAGCCTGAGCTTAATGCTGCAAGACACTGAGTACTGCCTGCAGGATGCTGGGCACTCTCCAGCCCCTTTGTGGTCAGTAAGGCATTTGAGTCTGGAGAATTTTAATTTTTGCATCCAAGTGAAGGAACAATGGGAGTAAGAGTCTAGATTACTTCTGACTGTGTAATGCACTAGATTGTTGGAGATTAGATTAATTGTTTTTGAGAGTCTGATCCTATTACATAACTGTGGTTTGTAGCATATTTGTGGATGAGATTTGTTTTTTTAACAGGTACTGACTTGAAGGTTTATTCTGATATTTTTCTACAACAGATTGAGGCTGTATACTTATATTTTATTGGCCTCTGAAATAGTAAAAATTGCATTAAATTTAAGGAAACTTCTAGTTACCTTTTGCAGGGGGAAAGGAAGGGGAGTACTACAGTGTCCCTGTTAATTCCCAATCCTGCAGACATTTAGATTGCATAAAAATTCTTGTGTAAGCAATTGGGGCTACTTTCTATACATTCAAAAACATGTTCTGATATATAAGGTAACCATATTTAAGGTACAAATGCAAGTGGTGGGGTGCAGGAGTGATTCATGAAAACTCTTGAAATACTGTACTTTAACAAGTTAAACAGTCAGTACAGTCTCACTACCTTTTTAACTACTACTGTCTTTGGGCTAAATAGAAATCAAACTATTTTACAAATCAAACTATTGTTGGCCAAACCCATGTAGATTTACAGTAGCAGCATAATATGACCAATTACTAATATGAGTGATATCTTTTATTGAATCAGCTGCATAGTTGGTAGAGATTTAGATGAACAAGGTACCCTTCCTCAAGTCCTTGTACCTGAAAGCTTGTCTAAATCTCTCCCAACTTGGTAATTGGTCCAATAAAATATATCACCCACAAAAAATCTTTGCCTCATATATTTCTTAGATCGTCACAACTAAAACATCACTCCAACACTACTTACTAATATATTAGTAATATGTCAAAATATATATCATGATTACTCTCTTGAGCATTTTGAGCAAATTGAACATAAAGATTACTCTATTTGGTATAGGACAATAACCCATTTAGAAAAGCTTGTAATTAGAAAAATCACTACACAGCTGATCAGAAAGTTTTTAATTTCTTTTTCTCCAAGCTTCTCATTAAGGAAACTAAGCCAAATTGAAAGGACAACCAATGAACTCCTACAGAACCAGTAGGTGGCATTCTCCGTACAGCCCAACAGATCCAGTTACAGTAGTGGACTTGTTTTCCATATTATTTTCTTAACAGGGTTCTTGTTCTCTAACCACTGACAACACCACAGGTATGTTTCAGTTTCCTGAGCTTATTGGATGCTTTTTCCACTTACACATTCCTCTTATTTGGTGCCATTCAGTCTGCAAGAACCTTTTCCTTTTTATTCAAAATAAACCTGTTCTGACCACACACAAATGATAAAATTACTACTAAATGATAAATTACAAGCAGCCTCTGGCATCCAGATCCCCATCATACCTCACTTGAAGGAAAAATATTTATTTGTACTAACTGCAGAAAATAAAGCCAAATACAGTAATTACAGTCCTTAGCAATTTGTTCTATAAATTACTCTACTGTAGATTAATAATTCCTCCTCTTTTTTAATGCTGGCCCCAATTTACTCCAAGAGTCTTTTAGAAGTTATTATTTTGGGATGGATAATTACTTAAAAGGCTATTTTCCTGGGGTTTTTTATGTTGATGAGGCAGATGGCATCTGTATGTAGAGAGAAACACAATTAATATTGTGGGTTAATTTCAGTAAACATGAAAGATACTCATGTGACTGCAGTAACCCCAAATTGAATCTAGTGGATATAATCAGTTTTTGCCTTTCACATAAAAAGGCATGAAAAAATATTAAAAGATAGTATTATGTGACAAGAAGGTTAGTATATCTGGATTCTAGTGAACCAAGGGATGAATAAACTGCAGTTTTGAGTGGCAGTTACTGAAAATGCCTTGATAGTGCTCTTTTCTTCCTCTTCCACCTGGGGTTGTTAGTTTGGATATGCCAGCTACTCCAGAATGCACAAGCTACAGTGAACTGCATTAACTTCAGAGGGACATTACACTGGAGTCTTTCTGGGTTTTGAGGGTTAGATTTTTTTTTCCACGTGTGTTGCACTTTTAAGGAAGTGAACCCACAAAGTTTCCCCTCCACTGTCTAGGCCAGGGGTGGGCAAAATTCGGCCTGCGGGCCAGATGTGGCCCGCCAGGCCATTCTATCCACCCCCCGGGGCCTAAAAAATTTAGAAAATTAATATTTATCTGCCCCTGGCTACCTGTCATGTGGCCCTCAATCGCTTGCCAAAACTTGGTAAGTGGCCCTCCACCTGAAATAATTGCCTGCCCCTGGTCTAGGCTATAAAAATTGTTTTTTACTGTTATTCAGTTTCACCTGCTTACAGTAAACATATTTTACATTCAACTTTTCATGATCATTTATCAAATTTAATATTCCTGGGCCACTGGTTGAGAAAGTTCTGCCACTTGTATTCATAAGTCTCACCCATGAGGTTGATGGTGACATTGTTCCAGTGGAACATTGCTGGCTTGAGAGCTCATGATCTTCCATAGTGAAGCAGTCCCTTAGGAGACTTGGGTCAGTCCTATGAAGGGCTTTCAAAATGGGTATGAAATCTTGAATTTGACTTGGTATTCAATTGGAAGCTACAAGCCAGAGCAGAAAGAATACTTTTAGTCCTTGGTATATTGGATGGAAGAATCTTTAGTCCTCATGTTGCATGTTATGGAGGCGAGCTGCCTTCTCACATGGGACAATGTGTAGGAGTGCTGAGGAGAACTTAACAGTGAACACTAAATAAGATAAAGATTATACTTAGCTAGAAAAGAGATCATGTTAATGTCTGTGGATGGGAGAGTTCAGAACCTTGAATATAAAATGCATCATAAGAGGTTCACTGTTCCCAGTTAAAAAAAATTAGATTTGTGTAACTTTAGATCCTTAATTCTGAGTAGTGAGTATTTAGGGATTTAAAGTCACATGATACGATGGAGACAGATGTATGCAGCAGGTGGATGTTGAGCTATGACATACTGAAAGGACTGGAGGGGTAGCTGGGTCTGAATTCAGCATAAGCAAGGAATGAGAAAGCCGTACATGTTTGTGTCTGTGGTATATGCTAAAAGTCCACAGTTTGGAACAGCATCATAGTCCACATGGCAGCCTGTTTGCCCCAGAAGGATTATGGGTACCTGCACTCAGATGACCCCTGGAAAGGAATCCAACTAACAGAAGTAAGATCTTTAAAGAGAGCTGCAACACTAGACCCAGGCATGTTCTTTACACATTTTCTTATAATATATTTCCAGTCCTGTCAAATTAAGAAAAGACAGTCTGGAAATAACCTTTTCTGCTAGCTATCCCTTGACTTATAGCCTCATCAACTCCACATTAGCATAAGAAAATAGGAGATGGAATCTCTTTGGCTAGGGACAGACGTTACACAAACTGGTTTAAGTGATCAGAAGCTGGTTTAAACCTGTAACAGAACAGATGCTCAGTGCATATAAACCAATTTGAAAATGTCTGAAACCAGTTTGAGATAAACCTGGTTGAATGTAGTATCAAAGATAACTGATTTGACTTAAACCAATTTATTCAATGTCTGTCCCAGACCACTTGCTGGTTTAAGATAAACCAGACTCCCCCAGCATCCTGGCGTGCTCTCTGCTCCACAGCAGGGCTGGCCCCTCCCCTCTGCTCCCTGGCTACAGCTCCAACAGAGACTGCAGACATAGCACTGTCTGCCCATCTTCCCCCTGCCCTACCCCACCTTTGCTGCTTAGTGGACAAACAGGGTTCCCTCCTCCCTCCCTCAGCACAGACCATAGGCATGTGGTATGAGGGGTGCCTGTGCCTGTCTCCAATTTCACTGAGACAGGCAGATAGAACAGTGACTGCTTACCAGCTTTTGGAGCTAATCAACAGGTCAGCTGCTAAGCTGTTTAAGAAGAGTTTGAACTAATGGAGAAAGGCTATTGTTTTGTTGATGAGGTGATAAACACTGTTATCAGCCCCTTCCTGGCTTGTTCACCTGTCAGTTTGCTGCAGACAGTGTGAAGAAGCAGGAAGGGAGACTGAAAAGCTCCGTATCATCAACAGATGCACTGCACACCCCTCTTTGCCTCAGAGTGCTAGCAGGGGTCTGGGGTCTGGTAACACTCCCACCTCTTGAGCAGCCAGGGGCAGGAGCGATGCATAGCGGGTGCATGTGCACCCCTTGAGCATGGCAGTGCACCCCCTACAAAAAGCCAGTGGCGTCTGCGGGTGGTCAGCGATCCTTGCCGGCAGCATCTGCAGGTGGTCAGCGATCCCTGCCAGCAGCGTCTGCAGGTGGTCACCAACCCCTGGTTGGCGCTCGCCACCCCTCCCCCCCACCGACAGTGCTGGTGGCATCTACGGGAGCTCCCGTTTACCATTGCCACACTCCCGCCTCCGCGCCCCTCCACCCATCGGGGGCACGTGTCGTTCATGGCTGGGGGAAAAGCCTGGGACAGTGTAAGCGGACCTCCCTAAACAGAGTGTCCTGCTGGGGCCTGGCCACAACCCACCTCAGCTCAGCACTCTGCAAGGAAGGGAGGGCTGCTTTAGCATCCCCTGGCTTCTAGCCTGAGCCACTGCAGGCATGTGCCTAAATTTCCTCAATCCAGAGAGAATGGCTGTTGTGTTACAAACCCATTCAGTTTAGCTAGGTTAGACTAACCTGCAAAGATTGAATCAATTCAGGCTCAGGTTTTTTGAATGTCTGTCCCTAGCCTTTATTTACTTCTGTCACACTGAGCTTCATGTGGAAAAAAAAAGACTTTTTTTTAAGGATTTTTCCAGGCTTAACACGTATTTATCTTGACAATTCTCTGAGATTGAATTGTGAGCATTAGAAAAGCAGTGCATGTCAATCCTATCTTATAGAGACCAGACTGTTTCAGGCAGGAGAGCTCTATTGTAAAAAAAAATATGCTACAAGGGCTGAAAAATGTCAAGAAGTATATTTATTCAGAACACTTTTTATTTAGTA